GAGAGGGTCCAGAGGAGGGCCACTCGCATGATCAGGGGACAGCAGGGCAGGCCCTATGAGGAGAGACTACAGGACCTGAACCTGTTCAGCCTCCAAAAGAGAAGGCTAAGGGGGGATTTAGTGGCCTGTTACAAACTGGTCAGGAGGGATCAGAAGGCATTGGGGGAGTCACTGTTCCCCCGAGCACAGCCAGGAATGACCAGGACCAACGGTCACAAGCTGGCAGAGGGTAGGTTTAGGTTAGACATCAGGAGGCGCTATTTCACGGTCAGGGCGGCTAGGATCTGGAACCAACTTCCAAGAGAGGTGGTGCAGGCTCCCACCCTGGGGGTTTTTAAGAGGAGGTTAGAGGAACACCTTGCTGGGGTCGTTTGACCCCAGTACTCTTTCCTGCCATGGCAGGGGGTCAGACTAGATGATCTGCTCAGGTCCCTTCTGACCCTAGAAACTATGAAACTATGAAATTTAGTCATCTTAGGACAGAGGTGGGTTAGTCATCTTAGGACAGAGGTGGGTATTAAGCCTGACTTTTTTTTTAAAGCCTCTTTTTAGGGCACGTTAGGGATTTGTCAGAGGTAAAAATAAAGGTACAGAAAACTGGGAAAAATAAAACAAAATGCCTGGAACACCCCCCCAAATCCCTGATGGTGATATTAACATCAGTAGAAACCTGGAATATTTCCACAATTACAGACTTTGTTTTGAGTTTTCAGAGTAAGCATGTTTCTTAGTCTCTTGATAAATGATAGAGGGCTGGATTTGTCTTGCAGGTAACAAGTAAATATTCATGAGTCAATTACATAATGTCAGAGGTCTCCAAGTGATCCTTGCCAAATACTCCTTTTCTCCCCCGGCATTACAGGGAAGTGTCTTAGAAATAAACAGTTACAAGTTAGAACATTTTCCATAACATCCTGAAACCGGATTTTCAGTCTAATCAATTAGGGATCAAATACTCATTGCATCTAGGTAATCTGTGGGTATTAATGGAAACAAAAATGAGCTGCTTATCCTACCTGGATGACAAATAGGTTGTAGAGGGACACTTTTTTTTTTTATACCTGAAATCTGCATTGGCCTTAAACTTTGCTGTATATTAATAAGTCTTGCTTAAGGTGCATGGTTCTTACTGGATGGGCTAGTCATGTCACAGCTTGTCACAAGTGTCACCTGTTTTTTAATTTTATTTTAGGGGAATAGCACCAAAGAATATTTTCTTCAAAGGACTTTGCAGAGCCTTGAACGCTATTTCTACTTGATTGCCTTCAACTACTACCTTCATGAGCAGGTGAAAATCGTCCCCATCCCCCTCCAAAGCCTGTCTTACTTTTCCTCCCTTTATGGTTGGAGTTACAGTTCTAGTGAAATAGAGTAAAATCAAAGTAAAGTAGTAGTGGAGGCTCTTTCATTTCCCTAGCCATGTGCTATATATATAGTGCAGGCTCCTTCTCTCTCCCTGAGTTAGAGAGCAGATGACTCAATGGATTACTGTATTAACCTTTCCCCTATGAAGTCTAAACTCAAACTTTGGTTAATTGTTTTATGTAATTGCTTCAAAATTCTTTCATTTAAAAATGTATTCTGTTTGTTCAAATAAAAAAAAACCTCCTTCAGTTTAGCAGTGCTTAGTCTGAAGTCTTGGATGAAACAGGAAGTAGTGTATCAGGTCAAGCTGTGTGTAGCTCTGTAACGGGAGCTGTAAATACTGATAAGTTTTGGCGGTGAGCTTTCAGCCCTTTTATGAATTGCTTGTAAGAACTGCTCTTTGAGGTTGCTTTCTGTGTAAGATATACATGCCATACAGGATAATGCTCGCCTGTTCCTGAATCCAGCATGTCTCTTTCTCTGTGAATGGCAGTACCCCATAGCCTTCGCCCTTGACTTCAGCAGATGGATGTGTAGGCACCCAGAATTGTATAGGCTGCAGGTGAACATGAACCTGTCAGAGCTCACTGTGACAGGGGAGCTGATAACAAAGGGGATGCGAGTACTGGTGAGTGACTGCTTTAAATCTTCTTCCACATCCCACCTTGGAAGGTTAGAGGCAGCGTGTGAGACATGAGGTCTGCCTGTCATGTGCCAGGGCCACCTCAGCCAAATGCTGCTCAGAAACAAATGTGCACACTGTCTCATTTACTAAAAACCCCCTTGGGTAGGGCCTCCTGAAAGCTGTCAGCCCAACAGCCCTCAGTTTTGGAGTGTTTGGAAGAGTCCAGTTCTATGGCTTCCGTCTCATCCCTCTCTTTGTCAGACTTCTGTATGCTGCAGTGCCAGGGGGGACATTTCAAGGAGTGGAGGGAGTGTCTGATGATGGAGGCAGTTTTACCAGTGTGTGCTCCCTGCTTTGAGGGAGTGACCAGTTGGGAGAGATTCTTTGGGAAGCCCTGCAATGGTAAAGGTGCCAGCAGAAATGAGCAGGTAGGGATGTCACTGATTGCCTCCAGTTTACACTGGTTTGTTCTGCTGCAGGTGGTAGATGAGCGCTTTTCCCCAGATGTGCTCAGTACTGTGAAGGAGATGAATGTAGCCAACTTCCGGAGGGTTCCTAAAATGTCTGTGTATGGGACAGCACAGCCCAACTCCAAGGTAAGGAGGCCATATGTAGAGCTCTTGGCAAATGGGAAGGTGACCAGGGAACAGGACTAAAACTCTCTAGTTTTTATACTCTTTGAAGTGCTGTTTGAATCATGAATGTGCCTTGCATTTAATTTAGTTCCCATTTCCCCTAGGCCATTGGGAAAGTCCTGAGCTACTTAACTGATGCAAAGAGGAAGTATTCCCACATCTTGTGGATAAACCTCCGTGAAGAAGTAGTGCTGGAAGGGAATGAACAAACCTATACCCTCAGGGAGCCTGGGAATATTGAACAGCAGATTGCAGTCCCTGTAAGAATGCCTGAACAACTAGAGGTGAGACCATAGCACCTTCTTATCCTCTCTCTTTTTGGCTTGTGGTTGAAGTGTGGGATACATCTTGGTGTTTTTCAGATGTATTGGTATTATTCAAACGTAGAAGATGGGACAAATAGGGCACCTAAACATGTGCCGGATGTCTGCTCCAGTGCGTGCTAATTAGTATGTGTTGGAGAAGATTTGATTCATTGAGTCTGCTGGAGTGTGCTAATTAATGCATTCCAGAAGCCTCTGCATTACATCTATTCAGGATACCTGTGCTTCAAAATAGCAGTGGGAGTGCTCTCCCAAGTGGTCACTCCTTCAAAATAAGGAGCACACATTGGTAAAACGGCCTTCATCCTGAGATGCTCCCTCCGCTCCTTGAAATGTCTCAGAGCTGCTCTAATTAAAGCACCCCCCCACTCCAGCCTGGAGCATTTGTATACATGCCTATAGCTCCTTAATCATGTTACTGTTCAGTGTATTAAAATGATAATGCTAGATGGTATGGTTATTTTTCCTTTTCAAAGAATCTCTGTACCTTTGTGTGGGGTACCAGCTTTTCCATTTCTAATAAAAAAGAGAAGAAACATCAACACCAAATACTTGCCTTAACATATAAAAAGCAGACAATGAAAATCTATACTCTTGGAGAATCAATTAATTTTAGTTGATGCACCCACTTAAAAAATGTCCCATTCAGATGTCCTTCAGCACATTAACCTAACCAGCTGGCCACCTGCCTGGCTGTTTGATACTACCCAGCACAGAATGGTGCATGCTTGGTAGGAAGAGACTGGATGCTGACCACTTTGGATGCTGACCAGTGATTATTTTACTTCTCTCAGTTTTACAGTTTCTTTCATTTTGGCAAACAAGAGCAAGAAAAGAATGTGATCTTGCAATGGGAACAGTTTTGTTTGGCACCCTGGTCCATGACAGCTGAAACCTTGGACTGAAGTGCTGATGTGAAAACCCGCCCCCCAAAACAACGCCCCCCTCCAATTATTATTATGCATTTATACAGCACTCTAAAATGTGTAAAGTTCTACAAAATGTAGAGGAGAACACAGTTCCAGGAAGAAGAATGTGGCTTGAAAAGACTGGACAAGGTCCCATTAGGTGAGGGAGAACACATGTTCTTTTGAAAGAATATAGTCAGGAAGACTGAGGGGAGAAGGCTTGTTACTAACAGTGGCAAGCTTGAGTGAAGAAAGTGTAAAGAGAGTAGGTCATGTCAGACATGTGGCAAGAAGCAGGCAAGGTCCATTGTGGTTAGTTTTTAATGGGATCTTGAAATGAATGAGGAGCCAATAGAGGCATCTTGAGTATGGTGCGAAACTAGCTGTGGTTATTTGTGTATAAGAGAAGGTGTCAATAGTATTTCGGACATGCTGGACTCTGAAGAGTTGGGATTTTGGCTGGCTATAGAGGACAGTTGTTTTGGGCTGTGATGCAGATGTGGGTCAGGATTTCAGCACAGGCTAAGCCAGGATATTGTCATGTACAGCCAACGGAGATGCAGGAGGAAAAGCACTGGCCCTAAGACTTTGGGCAGTGGAGGCAAATGGGAGCTCAAAGTCAAAGTGGGTGAGAGAAACAGGGAAGTTAGTTTCATGCATCACAAAATATTGCTGGTAGGCTCTGTTGAAGGGAAGTCTGGATGTGAAATAACAGGGATTGTTACAGATCAGGTGAATGGGGATTTGGGTGAACTATGTATGGAAAGCTTCCAAACTGGTCTTGCACTGTGCCTGACATTATCACATGTTTCTATGAGCATTACATTCACCTACACATTTATGGAGTGTAAAATGTCATTAGAATGAGAAAGGGAAAAAAATCTTATAAAATATGTGCAGTGCTCAGGTAATGAGTAAGTCCTGATTAGTATCCATTTCTTTTTCTCTCTCTCTCTCATTCTCTCCTACAGAAACTAGAGTGCACCCTGAAGAATGACATGCTGAAGTCCCAGAAGTGGTTGGAGGTGTATCTGGAGCAGGAAAAACAGATGAAGATGTTTAAGACTTGCCTGACCATACAGGAGATATTTAATCAACACAAAAGCACATGCCAGGGACTGATGTACAAACGGATCCCAATCCCAGACTTCTGTGCTCCCAAGGAGCAGGTAATGGAGGGAACAGGAAACTACAGCCATTACCAGAATTTCAAAACTCTTTGAAGAAGGGCATGGTGAAAAACTCTCTAGGATGGGAACTTCATGGAGCATTTTCTTGTTTTTCTCTAAAGAGTAGGGGATGGGACAGGTCATCCACTTGCTCCCTACAGTCCCTTGTATTCTGCCTCTTATTCCTTGTCCCCTTACTGATGCTCACCTCCTCTTCCAGTTTGATTTTCTTTTCTAGCTCTTCCCTTCAATTGATTCTCTCTCTTACTCTGTCTTCCATTTTCCTCAAATTTATCCCAACTCCTTCTTCCATTCCCTCCTCAGTTGCACTGCTGTCTTTTAGTTCCTCTGCTTTTTGGAAGGGATGGCATTCCTCCAATCTTTCCTTCACATGAAGGCACAGTAGTTTCTGTACAGTGGAGCAGGAAGCTGCTATTACATTGGCTCGGAGGTTGCTGCTGCATTTGCTGCTGCTTCTCTTTTCTATCCAGGCACCAGGAGTAAGAACATGGAGGAGAAGATGAAACAAGTCACCAGATGTCCTTCTGCTGGGTTGTCACAGTGGTGGTCTTTAGTCGTCAGAAGAGGGAAAGGGCAGCTGTAGTTTCGGTGTCTAGATTGCGGGGTACTGGTAAACCTGGGAAGATTCTTGCGAGAGTGAGACTGCAGGTCTGGATTGTGTCATGTACTCCTGTTTCTGCACAGGTTTATGAAGAGGAAGCTTGGTTTGTGTTCCTTCCCAGGATTTATGTACACTGAGTCCCTGGAGAAAAGGGAAAATGAGAGAGTTACCCCTAGATTGATAGTTACTTGTCCGTCTTTGGCCCAGGCAGTGATCAGTGACACTTATCTGTGTAACTTGACTGCTGTAGCTTTCAGTTCTGGGTTTGTCACTGAATAGTGGTGGGATCAGGGCTGCTTTTCAGTCATGCTGATTTGAAATGCGTTATTGCCATCTGCTGGCTCCACTCTGCAATGATAGATTGGTACGTGTAGTGTGAGTCTCTGAGCATTTCTTCTTCAGTTCATAGAATCATAGAAAATGAGGGCTGGAAGGGACCTCAGGAGGTCATCTAGTCCAAACCCCTGCTCAAACCAGGACCATCCCCAACTAGATCATCTCAGCCAAAGCTTTGTCTAGCCAGGGCTTGAAAACCTCCAAGGATGGAGATTCTACCACCTTTCTTGGTAACCTGTTCCAGCATTTTACTACCCTCCTAGTGAGAAAATTCTTCCTAATATCTAACCTAAACTTCCCAGGCTGCAACTTGAGACCATTGCTTCCTTGTTCTGTCATCTGCCACCACTGAGAACAGTTTAGCTCCATCCTCTTCGAACCCCCTTCAGGTAATTGAAGGCTGGTATCAAATTGCAAGGTGGCAAAGGCATGCAGTAAGGCAGCGGCCCTAGATTTTAGGAGGGCAAACTTCAGCGAGCTAAGGAGGATAGTTGGAGAAGTGCTGAGGTCCCGGAGGGGAGGGGAGCCAGGTGTCCAAGGAGAGTGGTCACTCCTTAAGGAGACGATCCTCCAAGCCCAAAGGAAGGTAATCCCAACGAGGATCAAAGGGAGCAGGAGAGCACACAAGCCTCCATGGCTCACCAAAAGCATCCGGGAATGTCTCCTTGCTAAAAAGGAGGCTTACACCCAATGGAAAGAAGGGGTCATCACCAGGGAGGACTATTCTGCAGTTGCTCGGGGATGTAGGGGGGTAGTTAGGAAGGCCAAGGAAGAGATGGAACTGGGACTAGCTTCCCAGATTAAGGACAATAAAAGTCCTTTTTTAAATACATAGGGGGTAAAAAGAAGGTCCCGAGTAATGTGGGGCCCTTGCAGGATGCGTTGGAAAATTTGGTTGTCACACCAGACGGCAAAGCTAACATGTTTAAC